ACACACACACACACACACAAACATACACACACACAGAAAGACACATCAGATAAAGCTGATTTTCCCGTTTCCACAAGTTTAACCTACTTCTAATTACAGCAGTATCTGAGTATCAAGTTAAATACTGTATGTTGCACTTATGCACATCACATTAATTGTTGGAAACCTCCAGTCTAGAAAACAAGTCCAGATACTTTCACTCACTGATATGAGATTAAAACAAAGCCCAAAAAATTATAATTTCACTGAAAGTATAATTTAATTTCAGTTATGTTGTGCCAAAGTATTGTTGATTACTTTTTGGTGTATCTCCTATATATAAAAAAAAGAGATCTAACTTATTCACTTGAGTTAGTGACTTCCTACATTTCCCACAATGCCCTTTGACAACTGCAGAACAGGTTTATTTTCAACTTTTGGTGGAAAGCAATATAAAGATACTAAAAATTGCAGGGCAGCTGTTGTATTTAAGAAAAATCTAGGACTTGTGCCCTTTACTCAGCACAAACCTGCAGTGTTGTTGCATTGCATTGTGGGTAATCTGCTTCCTCTACCATGGATTTCTCCCTGTCTGACTGTCGACTGTTGGTGCTACATGGCAGCTGCAGAATGAAACATCCCTGTCTGTTGGATGTTGATGGACTGATATCTGAAACATGATGTTTACAGTGGATAAACATGTTCAACCACAACTCTCCACTGTGGATGTTAAAATTCATCTGCAAGGAAATATGAAACAGCTAAACTTAATGAGAGTTAATGTTGTTAAGGTGTTTCAGGCAGGATCTCTGCTTTTCCTTGACCAACTAAGACATAGCATAAACGTCCCCCATCCATCATAACATAATCAAGTACATTAGGCTTTCTTACAGTTTGTCTTAAATGGGACTTTTTGCTGCCCACTGCCACGACAAAATCCTGCCGGCAACTGTGTGACAAGCGCATTAACATGTCATTTCGTTACAACCAGACAAGATAAGAACAGGTTTACGCTGCATCTGCTACACATTTGAATATGAGTCACTACCATTATCATCTGACAAACAACAGAAGATGCTGTGGATTAAGGTGCATAAAGATCATTAGCTCATTAAAGACATTATCTAAGTTGCATGATTTCCGTCTGCTAAGATAATGTGTTTAACACTATACCTGAATGTAAACCGCCAGCATATATGATATACTGTAGTATATGTCCCATATATGTCTCGTAAAGGATAATGCTCCATTTCTAAGATGTAAAATGCTGATTTCACTGTGTGGCGTGTACTGAATGTGCTCAGAGAGTCAAAAACACAGAGCACACTGACATGTTACCATGTTTTCTACTTTGGGTGTTGACATCTGACTTATATATAAGACCCCTGACTCGTTTTGAATCGAGTTTACAGGCTGTATATGCAAGGATGTAAATGCACTTACGTTTACACTCGGATATCTTATGATCTTTGTAATACTGACTTTTTGTAGAACACTTCACAGGATCATATTGTATGCATCCTTGCAAATAAGATATTGTTGTTACTTTGCTTTCAATTATGTGGTGACACGAGTATTATGCACTTGAAATGACACTCATGGACATTATGAATTGTAGTGAAGCTGAATGTTGGTGTAAATCCCCTTAAAGTAATAAAGTATTCAGTCTGTAACAAGTAAATAACTTCTCAGACATGAAACAATACACAATCACACAAAGCTTCTTGTAAAATGTTAAAAATATTCTTGTTGTCATAATAATCAAATGGGCTGTATAAATAACTAATCGATTTTAAAATATGTATTCAAATATACCTTATGCCGGATAAATAAAAGTTGCAATAAATAATATTAAACCCATGGAAATTTAAAGAATGTTGCTGGCTTGGATCCTCAGACTTGCTGGTATAGTTTGGAATAGCCTCATCGACACCAACAGGAAGACATTTTCACATTTCACAGCAGGAAAAGAAAAGAAAATATATTAAAAAATTTTTTTTTCGCTGCTTCAGTTTCAGGATACTATTCTTTGATGTTGCCCGACCGTGTGAGAGCTTGACGAGATCAAATCGAGATCAAAACATGCAAAATTTTGCTAATTGACTGTCAAAATCGAAGGCCAGTTTTGTATGGGCAGGGGAGTCGCCTGAGAGTCAAATCAAAACTGAATGCACTGTACTAGTGTGCTGAGACTGTACTTAATGTGTTTACAAGTGATTGGTTGGTGTTTAGGGCGACTTCTGGTCGTGCCCGGCACAGGCAATAGGATACACTTGGATATACCCTGACCTTGGTCTAATCGGCAGTTTGGCGGGGAACCTGTGTCCATCAGGAAAGATAAGAAACAGACCGTGGTGTGTTAATTGAACCCCACAGCCATCAAAAAGGAGGGGATGTTTTCCGGGGCGGCTTTGGGCTTGGGACCCACCTGAGGTTTAAACTATAGAAAAGAGGTTTTTGAAGGAGTGCAAAGAGGCCTATTTCGTTTGAATCAGTAATAGGGATTATCTACCGAGCCTGCCTCTGGACATGGGTGGAATTTTTTTTTTCCCGTGGCCACGAATTAGTAACGCGTGGGAACGAGATCCTATCCCGTGGCCACGACTTTCTTAATGTGTGGGAACGAGATGATTATTAGGTGGCCACGAATTGATAAAACGTGGCCACCAGACGGGCTCCGTACTTATCTACTCTGTGTCCTTTGGGAAAAGTGGAGACTCCGTTTGGATTTCTGATCCCGGAGTCGAGGCGCCGATAGTTATAAGAGTGTACACAGGGCAAAATACTTTCTGAGTTTTCATTCAGAATTCTTTAAGTTGGCTCCACTGATGTTGTAAAGCAAAATGTTTTTTTTCTATTTTTCAAATTGATGTGAATATTCCAACAAGGGAAATAATCAGTCCACAGTCGAGGTTAAAACTAAACTGTGAACAATTTATTTAAGAAAAAAAAAGAAAAGAAAAGAAATAAGGCAAATAGGAGGGCAGAGCTAAAGTGTCAAGTAAATAAAATCAGTCCACCAGTGATAAACAAGGGGCCTGGTCTGAAGCGTGCTCTGCTCCAGAATGCCAGCTGGAGTCATGGGCAGAGAAAGGGGGGGTTAGGTAGAACCAACAGGAGGACGCTGAGGAGCTGGTTCTGTGACAAAAAAGGGAGCAAGGAATAAGCAGGCAGCAAAAAGCAAGGCAGCAAAAACTCACTCGAAGATAAATGTTGAATCATGAGCAGCTGATTACCTTTTTCAAAAACAATGAATCGAGGGGCTAACTTCTTGGATTCAGACTTCAATGGAAAGCCACACAGACTGACCTGGCTCATATGCGGGTGCAGGAATCCTATTTCTGTCAGCGAAGCGTTTGATGGCTTCCACAGAGCGAAGAAGAGCTGACCGGGTGTATTTCCAGACCTTCCTGCTTCGATAAAGGTGATGCTGAATGGAGGGTACAGCCAAATCTCTCTCCTGGGAGGGAAACAGAGGTGGTTGATAACCCAGAGAAGCCTCAATAGGGGACATACCTGTGGCTGCATTGGTCAAAGAGTTATGGGCATATTCAATCTAAGTCAGATGAGAACCAGGTGGATGGGTTGGACACTGAGATGTAATGCAAAGCAGACTCCAGGTCCTGATTAGCCCTTTGTGTCAGGTTTTGGTTTCACTATACCAGACTTGAACTCTGGTAAAAACAGAACCAAAATCTTGTCTCCTAATGTAAAGTAAAGTGATTAAACAATTCCTGGATCCACATCCACACCAGAATGTTATGGATCCTTCCCTAAGCCATACTGCATTCTTCCACAAAGTTTTGTTGTAGTATAATTTTTAACAGACAAACAAACAAACGCAGAAGAAAACATAACCTTTTTGTTAGAAGTAATAAACATGAATAATAGTATCAAATGTCTTTTATCTAACATATCATCTAAACTCAAATCTCTCTGCCATGGCCCAACAGGGGCTCAGGAGGTAAATCGTCCTTGGTGCCCGTGTCCTTGGGCAAGATACAGAAACCCAAATGGCCTGACAGCTGTGTGTGATTGATGTGTGATAGAGAAAGTGTTGCACATAGATGCTCTGTATGACTGTGTGAGAGTAGGTGAATGGCGAAGCTGTACTGTAAAGCACCTTGAGTGACCAACTGACTAGAAAAGAGCTGTACAAAAACAGATCATTCAATATTTAACAGTCCCCTCATGACAACAAACACATTTCAATTCACTCCTTTACAGATTTTTATTTGGATCTACACCAGTTTGCCCTCACTCATAAATATCTAACATCCCTCATTTTTTCCATCAAGATCCATGAATTTTCTCTGAGAAATCAACAATGTCTTCGCAATGTTAAAGAAATTGGAAGAAATTCCTGGATCTGCCTCCTGATCCCAACTATACCTCCCCAATTGGCAAATAGTTTTGTATGGAAAATAAAAACAAGACACAACATGTGGGGAGGCAGACACAGAATGTCACAGATATGGGAGAACAACAGTGGCCCCAGGTCGACCTTGCAATTGTTGAGTGGAATAAAGTGGAACAGGGTGATAATGCCAAAAATGTCAGTCAGTATCAGTCGATAATGATAAATGTCACATTATTGTTTTTTTCTGAAGACTGAACATTGTGGTTTTAAACTCTTCTTTATGAGCAGCGAATGACAAACACTTAATAAACAGCAACACATTGTACACATCTAAGGTAGATCAAGTGTATGTGCTCACTGTGCTTACACAAGGGATAAAGAATAAATCAACATAAGTGAGCTTATGTTATATTGCTTTTGATGATAATTATATTGCGATAATAATTCATATTTATTTCCAGGCCCTAATAAGTACTCTTTTGTTCAGTCATTCCTGGCCACGTGTTGTTCCCCTCCTGTGCGACAGGTGGCAGCACATTCACGTGTAACCAAGCAGCGGGGGCGAATAAGTATCGCCCAGTAACAAGCAGTGAAAGGTTACCTCGTAGGTGAGTGGTCTAATAAATAATCACAACAGTCATGTGGGGAGATCCCAGGTCAGTGTGCAGCAGCGGAGTAAGTCTGGCTCCACTGTGTGTGTGTGTGTGTGTCATCAAGCTCGAGTTGCACGAGTTCCTGAACTCACTGCACCAAAGTGAAGCTAGTTAGCTGCAGCTAGCTTGTTTTCAACTTCAGCCAGACAGTCTTTATATTAGATGATGTTTCCTACCTTTCTATTCACAAAGGTATTTTAGCAACTAAAAAAACAATTGGACTTGAAATGTATGAAATTTAACAACACGATACATAGAGGTGGAGCAGTATATACTCTTCCCACTCATTGCTGATAATCAGGGGTATTCTTAGTTTTAGTGTTTATACTAATTGTTGCTAACTGATCATTCAGTTTGTTATCTTACACATATAGACTGCAACTACATTTGTCACATGGAGGCCGGTGTTGCAGTTCGATGCCTCCTAACCAGTGGTGTGTTTCTAGTGACAGGGTGGAGCACCAGCATGCAGAACTTGGTGGTGCAGTCACTTGCCATGAGGCAGCTCGGGAGGCTGAACCCCAGCCACCTGCTGGCTGCTGGATATGGACTGAGGCAGACTAAATGGTGTCCCAGGAGCATCCACACACGCCAGCTGTGGGGCTGCTCGTCGTTCCCAGCGCTTGGCTGTCACAGGCCGACCTCCCACAGCAGAGACTCTCTCAGGAGTTGGTCCGTTCATCACCTGAGGTCCAAAAGCATCAAGAAGAAAGAAGCTACTCAGACGGCACAGGAGGAGGAGGAAGATGAGGATAAGAAAGACCCAGAAGAAAGTGATTATGACGATGAGGTGGATGAGGACCCAGATCAACCTAAGCAATATAAAGATGTGGAAAAGTACGTGCAGTCTTTCCGGTACGATAGCATCATGAAAGCTGGCCTGGACATGGCAAATAAGTGAGTCAGTCTATGTTTACTAGTCTCTTCTGTGCAGACATTTTCTGCATAGCTGATGTGTATTGGATAACCATTATCAAATGTGACTTATAACAGTAAAAAAGGGAATAATTTGAATCCCTAAATAAAGCGTGTCCTTTGTTTTGTTACAGAAAAATTGAAGATGCCTTCTATGGGAATAAACTCAGGCTAAACGGACAGAGACTCATCAAAAAAAGTAAAACGGTGAGTGATGTATGACAAAATGAAGTAGTCCTGCACCTTATCCTCGAGTATACATTAACTCATATTTGTTCTGTTTTCAGGTAAAAGTTGGGGACACTTTGGACATGGTCCTGTCAGAGAACCAAGGAGGAAACACTGTTACCTTGATGAGAGTCATCGTCAGAAGAGTTTTTGCAGAAAAAAGTAAAACAGAAAAGTACAAAGTTGCCATCAGGTGCTGGAAATCGATAGAGCTGTCCAAGGACGAGGCCTTTAAGCCATGAACTTGGATGAGACAGTAGAGACTGTGATACCAACAAGGCAACAACACAGAAATGGCATGACTGGCAGTTGGAATGATCCCCAAGAAGTTGGATTAAGAATCGATAACAGTGGAATAATGTAAAGATCAACATTTCTCACTGGTTGTAGACATTCAGCAGTTGGCTGGGAGAAATGTGTTGACTGTTTACCTTTCCCCACCATATACTGTACGACTCCCCCAATAAATGTGCACTTTTTTAGCTTTGAAAATGTTAGAAAATTGAAAAATTGCTGATGAAGAGGGCAATTATTTTCTTGCAAATAATATGTTTTCCTCTGACTCGGTTACCAGAGTTTCTTGTGTTTTTCCCTGTGAAACCTCATTGAATATAATTTTTTTTATGGTACAAATGGTACGAAGGACCAATATTCATGTTACTGAGTGCAAAGTTTTCTCATGTACTGGTACTACGCACACCTCCCACTCCCTGCTAAGGAAATGTCTGCATGACCAGATACAGTTAATAATAACAGTTTAGTGTTATGTAAAACAGTCTGATAGTCATATTTATAACTAGGGTTTTATTAGAAAGGTTATCATGATCTATTGTCATGTTAAATTGTCTTTATAGTATAAACTTCTATAAGAAGGCTTAACATAAGCACGTTGTTATTAAAACAGTGGTGGCACAATGCTACATCAGTAACTGTAACAGAAATACAGACAGGTGACAAATTACAGGAATAACAGACTTTAGGTGAGTTAATAAGTTGTCGACAGCTTCAGTGCTGCTTTGCATTTAATCCACAAGTGTCTGAACCTGACAGGAGGGACGAAACACTGTTCTTCCAAAGTATGTTGGTATTTTCATGACGATGAAGGAGAGATGTCACACATCTGTCAGAAACCTCCTGTAGGGTTTCATCTATGGGAGATACTTTGAGATCTAACAACTTCTAAGGCCATAACGGAGCTTTTCAGACATGAACTCCAGTGGATGTCCGCAGGATTGGGTCTGGTGTTTGCCTTTCACACATGAACAACGCACCAGGAGATTCAAAAACTACACAGAATTCTCCGCAGTGTTCAGGTGAGTTGTGGCACAACAGGCAGAGGCAGGATGCAATTTTGTTTACAGCACGGGGACACCTGCATCATTCTCACCGAAAGCTTTCGACATCTTCGTCAGCGTCTTCTACGTGTATGGCACCGCCTTTTCACCCTGAGATAATTGTTTTCTTATTTTTGCTTCATCAACACACCCACTTGTTTGCGGTGACTCCTGCAGAGGATCTCTTGCTGTGTTCTTGCATCAGCTCACTTGGGGATCCTCCCGAAAAAGAGTTTTTACTCAGGTTCTGGCAGGAGAAACTGGAGAATGTTCGGAGCCTCTGACCTGGATATTTGCGTTCTTACATACAGCCCCTCTGGATATATATATATATATATTCTCTACTTATTTACTCAGGTTTTTCCTTGAGTTTGTCACCTGTCTCTACATCACATAGTTGTGAATCATCAGAGCAAATGTGTGATTGATGCTATCAGCTACTATCATTGTTAATGTTGTTAAGGCTACAACATTTATCAACAAAGAATGTTAGATAAGCTACGACAGTTTTGGCTTATAAATAGAAGCAGTTTTAACTCTTTAGCCAACATTAATAAGACTGCATACGCTACAACATCTATTGCTGTAGTCCAAATATAAAATATGACAAAGAATAGTACTGAAGAAACTCATACCAGCTTGGCTTCATCCTACATAGGACAGTTATGTAAAAGTTCAACAATGCGGTTTCAGCTTATATAATGTGCAATTATTTTTTATGACAAAGTGTTGCCTAACTGGAGAGTACTGTAACTAGGACACAATGCTTGACCTCTTAGCCTTCTTGAGAATGTCACACTTCTTGCGATTAGGGCGCCGGCAGCGTTCGTCAATGCTTGGCACACATTCATAGTGCCACACCTCCTCCATCTTATCCACAGGATACACTGCTTCCACATAGTGACGGATCAATCTGAGGCGCACGGGGTCGAGCTGCTTCTTGTTGCAGGCCCCTGAATGGTTGTACTGCAACCGCAGGTTCTCCTGCGTAAAGAGTTCGGGGAAGAGGCGCACGAGCAGACGGGCAGCGAAGTTCCCAACAGAGAGACTCTGCTGGACGATTTCCCGTACCTCAGTATCTGAGAGCAGGTAGGCTGCTGGTACGGGGAAGTCAGGTTTGGATACAGTCAGTTCATCCAGAGGAATTTTGCAAAAATCTTTGCTGCTTTTCTCAGGAGGTAAAGAGGGAATATCTGAGTCCTCTCTAATATCTGGATTGAGCTGGTTCAGCTGGCAAAAAAAGTCCTGCTCAGACTCTTGACCATACACTTTGCGTTGCTGCAGGTAGGATCTCCTCTGCTCTGTGTCGCGTCTCCGACACCTCTCGTCAAGTTTCCCCACAAATTCTAACATCCACACTCTGTCGTTCCTGGCCCGAGGGTAGACTAACTGCACGTAGTGACGGATCAGGTTTACACGAACAGGGTCGAGCTGCTTTTTCCCAAGAGAACCACTGCAGTTGTACTGCTTCCTTATGTTCTCATGGGTGAAGAGCTCAGGGAACATAAGCACCAGCAGCCGAGAGGCAAAGTTCCCAATGGACAAGCTACATTCATAGTTGAACTTCAGCTGCTCCAAGGACAAGAGGTACACCTGGGGGACAATGAAGTTGGGTAGAGGAATCTCCAGATTGTCAAAATCCACTGGGGAGAGCAGTGACTTTTTGGATTTGCGGATGGGCCTTTCATAATCAGCCACCTCTGGAACTTTAATAATAGAAACATCTTCTGAAAGGCTTACTACATCATAGCCCTCATCGTTGATATTGTCAGGTTCACTCCCATTACCACTGCTGTGAGGACCCTCGAGAGCATCCTCCATATGCTGAATGCAGACCTGGAGCCAGCTGTCCTCAGGCACATCAGGAAAATTTGCCTCCATATACTTTCTAATAATCTCCATCTTGTCAGAGTCTAGAATGAGCTGCCCCACTCTACTGAAACTACTGGAGCCTTCAGGCATTTTTCCTCCTTCAAACACCTCAGGGAAAAGACGATGCATGAGAAAAATAATTAAGTCCTCGTGGGACGAGAACTCATCGATGTCCTCTGTGGCTTGTGTGTTGAAAGCAAGGTCTGACACAGCCAGGCTGCTTTGCTGGTTATCTAGAGGGACATGTTCCTCCTGACCCTGCTCATTGATGAAATGGTAGGTTTGAGGGGACTCAGCTTTTATCCCAGCGCCTGTGAGCGTCTGCTTCCTGAGCAGCTGAGCGCTCTCCATGTCCCTCTGTGCCCAGAAGCGATTAAAGAAGTCATTAATCTGGAGCAGACATTCTTCCTGCCAGACGCTGTTGTTCTTGATTGACGGGTAGCACACCTCGACGTAGTTACGAATCAGCTGCAGATGGAGAGACTCCAGCATTCTCTTGCTGGACATGCATTCACGAGAGCACTCCCTCACTTTGAACAGCTCCGGGAAGAGATGCACCAGCAGTCGACACCCGAGCTCCCCCGCGCCTGATGTCTGCTCCATCAGCTGATTCAATTCGTCACTTGTTAGTAGATATTCAGGAGGAGGCTGGAACTCCGTCACCATCTCGGCCGGTTTGATCTGCTTTTTTATGCGCATGACTTCGAGGGTTAGCAAATCCACCTTGCTGTGAAGTTGTGTCATGCTTGAATTGAGGGTATTTAGAATAAAAAACATTTTCTCAATCAGTGGATAAAGGCTGGAGTTTGCTGTCGAAGCTTGGCCTAAACTGTCCGTGGTGGGGAGAGTCTCCAATTGGTCCTTTTCCTCTGGATTTTGAAGCTTGGACAAAAGGACACTGCTGTAGTTGAGCTGATTTCCAGCATCGTGACTGGCCTGCTGCTCCAGACTCGGTGTATTCCTCTTCTCTGAGATCCTGTGGGAGATGCTGAAGAGAGGCTTCCTGTAGGACACCCTGGATTTCTCCTGGACACAGTCCCTGTTCTCTCCAGTTGTGGTGAGGCAAAGAGGCTCATGTCTGCTGCTCATGTCAATCAAGTGCCTCCTCATCTAGACAGAAGAAAAAACATTCAAAGCACAGAAAAACTGAAAAAGACAACCCAACCTATGAGATAAAATAACGTCCTGCAGATAGCTCATAGAGGAAATAGTTTGAGATCATCTTACCTCTGCAGAGACTCTGGCTCTCTTGCTGCTGGTGGACTGGTCTGTATCAGGACCCATCTCTGCTGATGACCGTTTACCAGCCTCAGAGGTCTCATTAGAGCCTCCTCCACGTCCTTCTGGTAGCTCGCAAACAGCATAGTCCTCCGCTTCTTCTTTAATGTCCTGGACATGCTCTCGTTCTGCAATAATGGGAGATTAATATTTTCTTTGTTAAACCGTGTCAGAACCTCATGTGATCAGACTTGCTTTCGTGTCTCTTTTAAAGATGCAGTGGAGTCACAGATATTATCCAGAAAAAAAATCTGATGACTTATGTGTCTATGTTTTAAAACTTGAACATAAATATTTGAGATCAGACTTGTAAAAGTGTTGTATTAGAATAAATGAGTCTAGCAAAGCTCTACGCCAGCTGTTTTTTTAAAATCTTACTTATTACATGAATAACTGGGGATCTTCCTGCTGTGGCAGATGTAAAGATAAAACTTGCCTTTCTCAAGCATTGCTTCATCTGAAACTTCCCCATGCTCGGAGAAATTCATAGCCTAGAAAAATAAATCACACGCATTAAGTCACACGAGAAAAACATCCAATACAACATAAGTCAACAAACATGACAGTGTGATAGTAGACCTGAAACAATGTGACAAATCTTTGGTTCATCAAAATTAGTGTCGAAAAAAATGTTGAACATAGACTAATCATTAAAATAAAGTTTGAAAGCAAAAGTGGTAGAAAATAAACAGTTTCTCAAAGAGTGTTTTTTCTTAGTCTTGAATAGGACTGGGAGCTAAAACAATAACAACAATTATTATATATTATATTATTATTGTTATATAACAACACAACAAAAGTTCAATATATACTGATGTATTGTTTATGCATTGTGCAAGCACAGTGAGAAAGTAGAACACATCATTGATCTACCTCAGATTTTTAAATGAGCTTAAAGAATTTAAAACCACAACCTTCACTCAGGAGCAAACTATCAGTCTTTAAACTAATAACAATGTTACATTTCCCATGAAATTATTCATATGGACTGATTTTTCTTTAATAATATTGCCCAGCCCGAGTTATGACTGACAGCTGACTGCTCATCTTTGGAGTCTGGACTGTCATGTCAGTCAGACATGGGAGCTCCTGTGCATTCTTCATTCTTTTTCTGACATTTTATAGAGTAAACACCAATTTCTCAATTCATTTAAAGAAAATAATCGCTACATTAATCAACAATAAAAACAGCCTTTATGTCGACGAATAGAAAACGGAAGTTGAGGCTGTAACATTGGATTTATTTAAATATGATTGATTGATCGTGTTTACAAAGTGTACATTTACTCTCCGGTGTACATTACCTGTGTGGACCCGTATACACGTCCATGAATACATAGAGCAACATTTCAAACATGGAACTTGGCTGTGAGCTGCAGCGGAGACAGTCAGCATGTGATCGGCTGCAGTGGATCCCTGCTGACATGACGAGAGAGTGAAACCTCCAGAGAGGAGACGTGAACACACTCGCTGTCACAAAGGAGACACGTTGTTTTGGTGCTGTGCGCGGCACCGAGTTACCTCCTAGCTTCACTGAGCAGCTACTTCCTCATTCTTCCGCCCCTCAACCAAAACAATGCTAACGACCTGTGCGCGTGCAGCTGCAGACGAAGCCCCGCCACCATCGCACCGACGAACCCGTGTGTTAGTGAGAGCGTGTCTCTGTGCACGTTCGATTCCCAAAACATTTTGTTTGTGAATTTTAATGACGCGGCAATGTTTGCGTGGACGAGCTTTCACCCCCCACTCTCTCCTGCTCGGACTCTTACCGTAAATTCATGGAAAAGGCGCGTGACCTGCGGTTCGAGCTCATCTTTACGGTTCCGAGCGAGTCCCCGGTGCCGGTGTGGACGTGTGGGACATGTCGAAGGTTTGTCTCCAGGTTTTATTCACAGGAAACTCTTCTTCTTCTTGTTCATGTTTTTTTTTCTCTCGCTCGGCTCCTGTGCTGTCTCGCGTGACGTGACGCGGCGCGCGCCTGCTGTGTCACTTCCGCACAGCTGTGAACAGAAATAAAGACAAACACACTGACACTACTACTGTATATACACAGGTTATATATT